TTACAGCACAACAGCTGTTGGTCTTCTGAGCAGCAGCAGCAGCTCCTCCACTTCTTTTGAAACTGCTAAAAACATATATTTGTCCATATCTGTAGGAGGGTCTCTGTAAACTTTGCTGGGCCAAAACTCATGCTTCATCTAATGTTTTACCAAATCTCTTTTAAGTTTGGAACTTGGAGCATGATTATCTTCCCACTTCGTTTTGCGAAATGTGTGCTCCACATGGGAATCCGTTGCCAGTCAACAGCTTTTCTTCCATTGCTGTTGCCTAAGCCTTGCTTATATGCTGTGGACAATGAGTACAACAAAGAAAATATTACAGGTTCATGTTCATGTCCTTCTCATAGGTGCCTTCAGTATTTTCTGCCCCTCTGAGACTGCATGCTTCGAATCCAAATTTGTCTACAATAGATTTTGTGGAAGAGAAAAATTACTCTGATGGCTTGGAAACATCAGCGGAATTTTCTAAAATGCAAGAAGACTTGTGTCATGTTGCGCATAAAGGTAACTGAGATTTTCATGGGTGCTTTTGTGAAGTATCAGGTAAAATAATAAAGTGCAACTTCTGAGCATGCTTTAGATTTAAGAGGAAAAATTTTAAGCCTTGGATAGTTCTTCCCATACCTCACCCCCTCAACACATTGCACGTATTGAATCATGGAAGTCTTAAGTCACTAAACAGCCTTTTCCTCCAGAACGATATATTTGAAATCCATATACAATTGGAGTCCTATCCAACTCCATAAGATGCATATTATACGGCTTCACATATAATATGTGCAGATGTATGCAGCATATATACTTTTTAAAAACAGAGTTTTTAAAATTAACTTAAAAAGAAACTAGTGGGCTGGGGGGAGCATTGTTTTCTTAGTTTTGGTGGTTTTTTGCTAATAATGTGCTCCAGTGGTCTCTGTTCAAGATTTCATCAAGATCTGAGCTTGAGGAGACAAACCAGGCTAAATGGAACTGTTATAATTTTAACTCACTGTTCAATGATGGCCTGTGCTTGCATCTAAAAGTGTAATAGATCTAGATTCTGGTAGAAGCTGTAGTTCTAAAATCAATTTCTATAGATTGCAGCAGTATACCGTACTTTCCATGAGTCGCTTGTGTGACCATGCAAGCATATCTGCATTTAGCATAGTTCACTGTATGTCAGAGCTAACATTTGTTTGTGATGCAAGGGTTGCTATGGTAGTAACCTATTTTTAGAGAATACAGAAGAGTCCAATCACATGTAAAGCAGCCAGCAGACCAGCTTGAGCTGCCACTAGTTGGTTTTTTCTGCAAGAACATTTTATTAGCTATGCTTTGCTATCATAAAGGGGCCAGTGTCTCCCTTGCCCCTCAATCCATCCTTGTACCCCATGTTTTTTAGGGTGAATAGGTGGGATAAGAAGAGTACTTTTGCAGACAAGTCTTAAAGATTTTTTTTTAAGCATTGCACCTTTTAATAAGGACAGTTCATTAAAAATGCACTTTTATACAAAATATTCAGTGATGCCATTAAGTTTTTCTTGCAAAAATGGTGGTATGATCATATAAAGGAACTGTTCACATAAAGTTCAAACACGGAGCTTTGCAACATCAAATGTAAAAAATGGTACAACTTTGAAAAGAAATGCCCAATAGTAAAAATGGACTAAAATTTTTCTTAAAGACACTTCCTCCTCTATATCCTCTTGGGAGAAATATTACTCTTATAGAAGTTCAAGTATATCATTGGTATGTGTTTCATGGCACAACACATTAGTTAGGGAGCCTGAACTGACTGTTGTATCCTTTTATGACGGTTATGTAACATTTTGTTAATGCTTCTTTATATTGCCCCCTGTTTTATGCTTCTAAAAAGAATGAAAAATAGATGAGAGAAAATTGTTTTTTTTTTATCTTTTGTGACAAATTTAAGCCAAATGTATCACTAGAAGTTGTACTCTTGCCGTAGTTTTAAAATGTGCTAGTATACTTCTCAATATGAACCTTAATTTTTTTCTACATTAGATCATTAGAGCCTCTGTTGATGTCATTTCAAAATTTTGAAATGACAGATCTTAGTTTTGCATCCGAATAATATATTTTTAAGAGAGCATTCTTTCAGTATAACTCAGCAATTATACAGTTCTTTCCCCTTTGCTCTCAAGGTATTTTCTGTAACTATCACTATATTTGCGGAAAAAAGAAATTTAGAGCTTCTGTGGGAACTATACTTAAAAAGTAACGGAAAGACCTTTTTTTGTACACTTTTTCTACACTATTCACAAATGGTAGAAATAACAAAAAATACCTCATGAAAATGACTTGGAATACTGATGTTCTACATGCGAGCTAAAGAGTATTACCTGCTGTCATCTTTGAGAGTATTTAGTACGCTGTTTAAAACTTCACCCACTTTTATATGCCCTATCATATTGTAATAAAGATATTAAGAAATATTCCGTTTTGTTCATTGCAATTACAAGTAGTTCCTTATGGCCAAACGTTATTTTATTTAAGAGTAAATAAGAGTTGGATCTAATCTGGTGATTGGCCTGTTCAGAAAGCATCATCAATCTGTTTCTCCTGGACACATGCTAATAATTATTCTTTTGCTTATTCCTCAGTTCTGACATATCAGTGGTAGTTTATTAATGGCTTCCAGGACACTTTGTATTGAGTATGACATAAAAACTAATTGGATCTTTCCTTCATCAATATTGATTTGTATTTAATAAGCTTAGATCACCGTTCTCTGGTTCTAAAAGCTCCTAAAATTCCTGATCACTTTTGCAAATCTTGACAGCAAGTCTCAGATCCCAACACTGAAGTCTAGGGGTGAACTGATAAAGATTTTTTTGGGCCGATACCAATGGACTATTAACAAGCCATATCAGCGTGCCAATTTGCCGATATGCAGCCTGACAGCTTGGAGAGCAGCATCTGGCTGGTAAGTCTGTCGGGGGAAGGGACAGGGGGAGGGAAGGGGCATGGGGACGCAGATTGAGGCCCCTATGATGAGGGAGGGAGTGGGGCAAGGGCAGGAGCTGCACAGCTGGGGTGGGGGACGGAGCCACAAGCAGCAAATCCGGGGGGTGCAGGAGGGCAGGGCAGGCAGCTTCTGCCACTGCACACACCCTGGAGGAGGCACAGGGGGCATGTGCCCCTGAATCTGTGCGCGAGGCAAGGGCAGGCTGCCTGCTGCAGGCTGGGGCCAAGGGCAGTGCTAGGCCCTTCGTGCTGTGGGGACTGAGCCAGTGCTGCACTCAGGGCAGGCAGTGGCAGCACTAGAAAAGGGGCTATGGCAGGGCAGCTATGGGAGGGGGGCCCCCCTCCCAGCACTGCTGCCACCCTCCCGAAGCACAGCCCCAGCCTAGTCCTCTCTACCATGAGGAGAAGCCCGGTGCCACCCCTGGCCCCAGCCTGCAGCATGCAGTCCACCCTCTCCCTCTGCATAGATCCAGGGGACACATGTCTCTGTACCTCCCCCGGGGTGCACACAGCAGCAGGAGCCACCCCCGCTCACCGTCCCCATCCTCCCGCACCCCCCTGGACAAGCTGCTTGCAGCTCCCATGCTGTGCCTCATCCTGGCTGTGCACCCCCAGCCCCACTCCCTCCCTCATCACAGGGGATTCAATCTGCCCTCCCATGTCCCTCCCCACCCCCTTTCCATCTCCACAGACTTACCAGCCAGATGCTGCTCTCCAAGCTGCCCGGCTGCACTCCTGGATGCATGCATGTCCATCCCTGGCAGCTCCCACTGTATCACCATCACCATCAGCTGCTGCAGTGGCATGGTGCCCCCACCTATGGCTGGTCCTGCCACCATGTGAGGCTGCTGCTGCTATGGCAAAGTCTCCCTAGAAGTTGCCATTCAAGCAGTGCATCTGCATTGGAGTCTGAGACTGTTGCACTCACCCACTTCTAGCCATGCTGCTGCATTGAGGCATTGTCTGCACTACAAGAATTAACCTGGCTTTTATTTGGGTGATACTTTTTACGTGGCTCCAAGGCTGCTACTGCCACCATGTGAGGCTGCTGCTGCTATGGCAAAGTCTCCCTAGAAGTTGCCATTCAAGCAGTGCATCTGCATTGGAGTCTGAGACTGTTGCACTCACCCACTTCTAGCCATGCTGCTGCATTGAGGCATTGTCTGCACTACAAGAATTAACCTGGCTTTTATTTGGGTGATACTTTTTACGTGGCTCCAACCACTTGCAAAAATCTGACATGAATTTAGTAGTGATTTCAGATGAGTCTAGCTGGCCCATCATGGCTGTAGGCCAGAGCTGAAGTGAAATTTTCACTTGGGGTAGTATCCCCCCTGCTTTACAGTAAGGACATAGGCAAGGCACTCAAGTGCTGAAAATTGTCCTGTGCTTTCCTGCAATTCCTTTGCATTCCCAGAAGGGCACAGATTCTCCCACGGATCGCTTGGAAAGAATTCATACATTGTGAGGGGCTGGAAGAGACCTTGCAGGTCATCGGGTCCAGCCCCCCCCCCACTCGAGGCAGGAAGTCATCTGGGGTTAGGTGACCCCAGCGAGGTGACCGTCTAGTCTCATTTTGAAAACCTCCAGGGTAGGTGACTGCACCATCTCTGGAGGGAGTTTTTTCCACAGTCTGGACACCCTGACTGAAGGAGTTTTTCCTGATATTAAGCCTGAAGTGGCCTTCTAGGAGTTTCTCTCTATTGGTCCTGGTCTTCCCCAGGGGTGCCCTGCAGTTGCAAGGTGGTTTGACATACTGCAGTATCCTAAGAACGTTAGGATATTCCCTCAGAAGTTTTCATAGAAAATTAGGGTTGGAAGGGACCTCAGGAGGTCATCTAGTTCAACCCCCTGCTCAAAGCAGGACCATCGCCAACTAGATCCTCCCAGCCAGGACTTTGTCTAGCCGGGTCTTAAACTCCAAGGATGGAGATTCCACAACCTCTCTGGGTAACCTGCTCCAGTGTTTTACTACCGTTCTAGTTTAAAATATTTTCCTAATATCTAACCTAAACTTCCCTTGCTGCAACTTGATTTTTTTTTTTTAACTGAAAATTTTACTACAGTATTTACTCAAATCTAAGATGACACCCCAATAACAAGATTCTATACATAGAACATTTATAGGTTTGTTTATATTTCTCCATGTATAGAATATAATCATTGGGGGGTTGTCTTTAATTCAGACTTCCCACTGTACAGGGGCAGTAGGTGGTATGGGGAGGTCAAGCAGCTTGCCCCCTGCTTGTGCCTGTCCCCCTACCTGCTCCCCCTACAGCCTTGGGTCCCTTCCATCCCCCTACCTGCCAAGTTCCTGCTTCCCTCCCTAGCCATGTTAAACAGGGGGGAAAAAACTTGTCTTAGAATTGCATAAATACGGTCATTCATAAAAAGAAACTAAGGAAGAGAACCAAATTAAGAATATGTGTAGTTGCATTACTGCCATTTATAATAGAGACATGAAAATCACACTTTGAAAAAAAGTACAGATAAATTATCCTAGATTCATCCTAGTTAGGATTGTTTAGCTTTTCCTATTAAAAAAGCTAAGTCTTCATTGTGAAGAGCATTGCTCATCTTTAATACTCTAGCTGAACTACTAGATTCACAGTTTGGTTCTTTCATCATGTTTCATATCATACTGCACTGAAACGGAAATGTTTCACAACTTGCTCTACAACTGGGAGCTCTTTTGTAACTGACTTAAACATTTATTGCAGTGTACTTCACCTTAAGGTCAGCTTTTAGTACACTATCAACTGAAAGAGAAAAGCTAAAGCAGATGTTGGAACAAGATGCATCCTCGTCTCCATCTGCACAGATAGCTGGACTGAAGAATGCCTTATCATCCGTAAGTTGCATGATGATTTTGGTGAAGTTTGCTGGTGTTAGTTGTAATAGTTAATCAGATTTTTCATCAGTATCTTGGGCTATATTTGAATCTAATTCATATTAAAAGCAAAGTAAATTATGCTTGGTAGTCTTTTTTCTAAACCTTAAAGTTGTGCATGGGCCTCTCAAAATGATAACAGATTAATATATATTTGTTTTAGTAAATATTGGAAATGTTATTGTCAACATTAATTCAGTATTCAATGTCACTGCTTTCACTAACAAATCAAATAAATTTTGCACTTGGCAGTAAACTAGGGTGGCTGCATTTGATAGTAAACAGTACCGTATAACTGTTGGGAATTTCATGGTCGTAGCTATGATATTATGAAGCGGTGATTTGCAGGAGTGTGACACCTTAAAGAAACTGTCAGATTTCAGATTCTAGATCACTTTATAATGCCTTTTTATGTTTACCGCTAAGGAGTGTGTATGCGTGTGTGTGTGTGTGTGTGTGTTCGTGCAACAATCAGGCATTTCATAATGTGCATTGGTTGAAGATGACATCTTGGGTTGTTGAGTGCATGTAGTTGTCCCTCCTGTTTGAATCAACCCATCGGAGGCTCAGATGTTGGACTGTGGTGCTGCAAAATAGATTTGAAATGCAACTGAAAGAACAGTTCTTCTTTTCCAACAGTTATATTTTTGCATTGATCTATTTTCTTAGATATCTTTAGTTTATAGAGTAAGAGAACAAGGGTGCTCAATAGGCCTGTGCGAAACGGCAAGTATTCATTTCGAATTTGGATTCAGACGATTTCGGAAGGACAGCGATTCAATTTGGAGATTCAGATCACTGTCCCAATTCAGTTTGGTCGAATCAGATCTGAAGATTTGGCGCCACTTCGGAGATTCAGCCATAGGCTAAACAAGCAGCAGTCCTCACCACGCTGGACACAGCTGCCTCCAGCTGGTAAGTCTGTTGTGGTGGGCGGAGGGGGAGGGAAAGGGTATGGGGGAGGGAAGGATTGGGGCTGGGGCTGACAGGGCACGGGATATGGGCGCGGCGGTGCTTGGAGCAGGGGCTATGCCCTGCTGCCATTTGCCCAGCCGGGGTGGGGGATGCAAGATATGGACATGGCTCGCTCTGGGCAGAAGGGGTCAAGTAGCAGCAGGGCATAGCCCCAGCTCCCAGCAGTGTGGTGCCTGCATTGCTTGCCTTCCTACCCCAGCGGCAGTGACCGCCCCCCTGCTCCAGCTGTGCAAGCAGTGGCAAGCCAGAGCCCCTGCCTCTAGCGCTGATGTGGCCATGGCAGCGCTGGGAGCAGGGGCTCTGCCCTGGTGCCATTTGCCCAGCAGTGGCGGGGTGTTGGGGCAAGATGCGGGCTCGGCAGTGCTAGGAGCAGGAACTATGCCCTGCTGCTGCTTGCCCCCTTCCACTTGGAGCGAGCCACACCTGCATCACACCACACCACCCCCCACCTCAGCTGGGCAGCAGCGCTGGGAGCAGGGGCTCTGCCCTGCTGCCACTTGCCCAGCCAGCCTGGTGGGGCAGGCGCTGCCACCACTTGCCCAGATGGCAAGTGGGGGAGGGGGCGCATGGGAAGATGCAGCACTGTTGGGAGCGGGGGCTATGCCCTACTGCTGCTTGGCCCCTTCTGCCCAGAGCGAGCCATGCCCTCATCCTGCCTCCCACCACCTTGGCTGGGTAAGTGGCAACAGGGCATAGACCCCTCTCTGCGCGCTGCTGCGCCCGCATCTTGCACCCTCCCCTGTCCCCCTTCTCGAGTCCTGTGCATCCCACCCCGGCTGGGCAGCTTGTCACAGCCTCAATCCCTCCCTCCCCACTCTGCCCACCACAACAGACCTACCAGCTGGAGGCAGCTGTGTCCAGCGTGGTGAGGACTGCTGCCTGTTTAGTCTATTGCCGAGTATCTGAAGCGGCTG